GGGGGGGGGGGGGGGGGGGGGGGGGGTCCGTCCGAGCATCAAACATTTTTCGTCTTTTTCGTCTTTCTCGTCTGTGTCGTGTATGGTGATGCTATGCTGTTTGTAGTTTTGTGGGTATTTAGCAGTCACACAAGTCGAATGGTCCACCAGTGTCTGTGGCGCTAGCTGTATATGATGTGCCTGCCTTCCTCTCTGGCCCATGCTCGGTGTTTTTCGTTCGCCGTCAAGAAGAAAAGAAGTGAGAGCAAGTGATTGCACATTTGTGTATCTATCTTGGCCATAGAGTGCTGAGGCGCAAGTAAATGAGGTCGCTTTTCACCAATTAAGGTCCAACGCATATAATTTGCAATGAGACATGTACGCACATAAATGTGCCGTCTGATTAATATTAATGCACATGAAGAATATATATGACATGCAATATTGTCGTCATGCAATATTGCATGGCACGTGTGTTTCATGCATAAAGTATATATATGACAAATGAGCAGCACCTCTGCGCAAACACGGGCACTTATGTCCCTGCCTCCCTCAATGGGATCAAAAGACGGAATGTGATTGTCGCTACCCTTCTCCCGGCTACTCCGGGTTGGCCTCTGTGTGTCTCGTTGTCTGTCCGACTTTGTCTTTCTACGCTGCACGCCCGACTGCTTGGCCGCTTCGTGACTTCACGGTAGTTAGTGCTCCGGACCCTCGTATATCGTCTGCAGAGAATCACGCTGCACGCACGGCAAGCGACATCCAGACACACACATTCAGGGAGACACATGAATCCGTCGACATCCTTCTCACCCTCGCGCCACGGCCAGCACTGCCAGGCCCTGCTCCCTCCCTCTCCGCCACAGGCATGGTACTGCTGCGAGACATGTCATGATGATACGGGCTGTGCTGGTGGTGCCGTTGGTGTTCATCTTGCTGGTGGTGCCGTTGGTCTTCATCTGCCGACTCGACTGCCGTCATGTCGATGGCCACAGCGAGGTTCTCTGGGATGGAGTGTGTGTGCTGATCGTGCAGGTGCTGCGGGTACGGCAGCTGGGAGAGCACTGTCACGCCCCTGCATCGTGAAGGACAAGGCAATGCAGCTGTCTGCCGCGTCAACGTGCAGGTGTGAGTTACTTGAGGAGGCCGCCGCTCGAGTCAATCAGCTGGCGCAGGTCCTGAATGGCACACGCAGGGCATGGTGAGGTAGGCGTCATCGGTCACTTGCTCCGTCTGTGTGTCAATCTCATCTCACCTTGTCTGTGAAGGCGACCGGCTGTGGGTGCAAGGCGCTAGGCGGCACCGTCAGGACAGATGTGCGGTACACACGCCAAGACATGCGCTGGCCTGCAACAGAGAAATGTGTGTCGTGTTTCGGTGTCGCTTCTTCATTGCCTACCTCCCTTGACCCACATCGAGTGTGCGGGCAACTGCAGCCTCGCCATACCGTCACTGCTGCCGTGTCTCCTCATCGCAGCGGCGCTCGACGCGATGGAGCTGCGACGGCTGTCCATGTCATCATGCAGGCCGCCGGGTGAAGCAGGCTGCTGCTTGTGGTGGACGGCAACCTTCAGCCTCTCCAATAAAATCTCTTGCTGCAGCGGATTGAGATTCGCGTCGTCTCCCGTCAACGACACACTCGACAGCAGAGAGGACGTACTCCCCCTTCCCTGTCCCCTTCCAGTCTTCTGCGGCCCTGAGGGGTCGATGTCTATGCTCTCGCCGCGATGCAGATCGACGTCGCCGTCGCTCTCGCCGACTCTTTGCTTGTCTCGGATGCCGATACAGTCCCTGGGCACTGAAAGAGACATCGTTGAGAGCGCTTTGAGGAGCGAGGGGCGTCTTGAGGCGGTGGGGGAGACGGCGGGAGACACTGCATGTGTGAGGGTGCTGCTCGATCGGCGAAGAGCACGCTTCATCTGTCAGACAGAGACAGCAGCCATATATGGTGGAACGCCGATGGTTTCTCTCGTGTGGCTTACATGGTTTTCGAGCAGTAAGGTCTGACCCTCCTGTCGATAGTACTCCTTCAACGCAGCCTCCTCAAAGTGGAGATCCACAATGGTGCTGTGGATGATGGACACGGCAGAGACCAAAAGCAGCTGCATGATTCACTGCAGTGTCGCTGGCCTACATCACACATACATGATTGTCCGAAGGAAGACGCAGTACTTCTCGACCTTGTTCCTTATTTTCTTGACCAGCACACCGCCCACAGCCACGTGCCTCTGCCCCTGCTGCCCCCTCTCATCCGCCACCTCACACACAGACGCCAGCTCGTCATCGCTCTCGCCTCCCTCATCATCATCACCCCCACCATAGACAAACGCCGCATCACATTGGACGAGGTAGGCCGCATCAGAGGCATCACTCGACGACTGATGTGTGGTGCTTGTCCTTGAGAACGGGGGCAGGTGGAGACACGGATCGATGGGCGGGGCCGGCTGCTGGGATGCTAGGCCTGCTGATGGGTAGAACGCGTGTGTGAGGGCCTTGATCAGGTGTGGAGGCAGGGAGGCTGTGTACTCTTTGGCACGAATGGTCATCTGCATTGATTTGATGGCAGAGATTTTCATCGACAACGCAGGACACGCAAAACACATGGCGATAGCTGACCAGAGCGTCTTGGAGGGCATCGAGTGCTTTGGCGTACTCCGCTCTCAGATCGACCAACAGCCTGGCCCACTTATAGACGAAGTGCAGATGCAGCGAGAGAGGGCCCTCACCCACGACGTCCACATCTAACGAGCGAGCCGCCTGCAGCAAAAACCGTCGGGACAACTTCTCGTCTGCCTCTCTGTGTGTGCACGGGTGATGCATCACTCACCTCCAGTGCCCGTCCGTATGCCCGCTCCCCCTCCCGCAGCCAATCCCCCTCCTCATCGATGGAATGAGAACGAGATCTGTTGGAGGGAAAAGGATAATGGGGTGAAGTCAGCTTCATGTCTCTGTACCACTCGATGCATTGCAATGCGGCCCCTTACTTGAAGAGGCGTCGTGCCCTCTGCCGGCTTCGTGTAGCGGTGTCTGATACTGATGACGCGTCTTGCGTCGGTGTGGATCGCTGCAGGCTGCCAGAGGGAGGGCAGTGCCGGCTGGGAAGATACCAACGCGAAAAGTTTTGGACGCTAAAAGGGAGAGAGAAGTGAAAAGAAAGGTTCGACGTTCCCGCCAAATAAAAAGGAATGTGCGTGTTGCCGATTCACTTACTCTGCTGACGGAGTCTCGAGCTCCTCACTGGCAGCAGAAGGGGCATCCACAAGCGACGCACCGTCCTTTGCTCTCTTCCCAGCACCAGACTGAGAGGAGCAGTACTTGAGCAGGTGATAGTACACATCGCCCTTGAGACACATGACCAGCGCCTCACCCAACGCCTGCAAGCAAAGGGAGAGGGACAATGCCTGTGCTCACATCTGGTGCGCAGGACGTCTCACGGACGTCTCTCTTGTGTGGCGGCGAGTAGGCTATGTCGAGGGCGTGCCGATCGTCCGGCAGCAGGTACTGGTCAATCAGCTGCAGCACCCTCTCGCTGATCCCACGCACGCGTCGTCGAAACTCATCCTGCGATATGAGTCCGCCCTGGAGCCTTCTCTTGGTCGTGTGTATGAGAGCGTTGAAGCTCATTATGAGGTCCTGACGCTGCTGTGACGTCGGCCGGGTGGTCTGGGCGTCGAAGATGCGGGAGAGACATCGCAGTGCACCTGCAATGTGTATTGGTCAGATGGGCCGCATAAGAGGCTGCTTGTTTGCTGCAGAAAATGACGCACATGTCAACTTACGTGTCCATCGCTTGGTGCGCCTGGCGATCTGCAGCTCTTGGGTGTAGTACAGCTGGGGTAACGCGCACACGCCGACAGATACATACGTAATCGCATGCAAGGGGGAGAGTGTTTCCGTCCGTCATGTACCTACCCGTTGCCTCTCGGCTGGCAGGAGCGCATCCAAGTGCACAAGCGGCACCCAGTAGTCATCTCCCTCCCGCCCGCCTTCCCACCTGGCCACCTCTTTCCGCAGACTAGCCTTCCACTCTACTCCTTCCATCTCACGCGGGGCTCTTCTGCTCTCTCCCAGCCCCTCCCACGCCCGATGCCCACAGGCGGCCGCCCAATTCTCGATCCGCTGCAGAAATGCCGAGAGAGGCATGCTTTCCACCCCATTGCTGTCCTCCTGCCGGTCACTGCCGTCTCGTATCATGCGCACGTAGACGATAGGGTCATGTGTGGCGTCTGTCGTGTCGGTCGCCTGGCTGGTTTGCGTCACTGTGGACGGTCTTCTGTAAGCTAGGCGGGCAAGGGAGTCGGTGAAATCGGTCACGGAAGAGGCAGAGCGGAGCAGACGTCCAGAGGGGGCAACGGGAGGGGCGTGCGCTTCAGGCGACGACGAGCCGGGCACCATTCCATGAGGCTGAGGCTGCTGCAGCTGCTGTGTCTTGGGCAAATGTAGCTGGGCACAGAATCGAGCGGCGAAAACCACTTGACGGACATATTGCGACGACTTCTTGTCCTTCCGTGCTGTAAAGCCCCTGGCAAGTGCCGCACGCTCGCCATCCGATAACAATGAAGGCGAGAGTGCCACAGAGCAGTGTGGGAACAAGATATCCAGCTCAACATGGGGGTCGCTCCTGACGCTCTGGCGAACGAGGAAACCGAGACGAGACAGCCACGCCTTTTCCTCTGAGACGCCACCGCCCTCCGTGACGCCTCTCTGATTGGGCGGCGCACCCGCAGCGAGTGACTGCAGTGAGTTTGCAATGGAAATGATCGAGCTCCGCCGTTTCCGATAGACTGGCTGGTGCGGCGACGTAGTGGATGGTTCGTCCGCTTCAGATGCCGCGGGCACGTGCAGAGTCTCCACCTTGTTGACGACACTGCTGGCCAGCCTGACGTGCATGAGGCCCTGAACGTGCTTGCAGACCACCTCGGCGCACATGGGCAGCGAGACCTTCCGCACGCCAACATCCACAGTGACGGTTCGCTGCCTCTTACTTCTGCTGCTGCTGCTGCTGGGCCCTTGTGCAAGCGCACGTGCCTGCGCCTCGGCGGCCTCGTTGACATAGTCGGTTGGCTCATTGACAGAGAGAGAGTAGCGGCTGGTGAGGTCGCTGCCGGACAAAAGAGGGCCAGAAGCTGTGGGGCCAGTCACGTGCGCTCCGAGGCACGCTGAGGAAGCAGGCAGCTCGTGGGAAGAAGCCGAAACTCCCATGGCGGATTCTGATGGCCGAACAGAAGAAAAGCTCGCGCCCCGAGTGCTCAAGAAGCAAATCGTGAGCCGGGTCACCTGTTTCCCCTCCTTCGTTGAGCCCGTTCAGCACATCTTCGATTCACACCATGGTACGAAAGATCAGGCAACCACCTCAGGACGGCGCACATTGGAGGAGAGAGTGGCAGATGCAGAGGACAGACAAAGCAGACAGACACACCAGCAACACTCACTGCCCGAAGCAGCTGTGAAAATGCCACCAGCAGCGACGACCGCCTTCTCTCTCCTTTTCTGCGTGTGTGGTTGTGCTACGCGTGTGTGTGTGTGTGTGTGTGTAGGACGACGCGGAGGCCCAGCGTCAGATAGAGCAGATGATTAAGTTCATCGAGCAGGAGGCGTACGAGAAGGCGCAGGAGATTGTGGTCAAGGCCGAGGAGGAGTTCAACATCCAGAAGGGCAAGACCGTACAGCTCGAGAAGAAACGCATCATCGAGGACTATGACAAGAAACTCAAACAGCTCGAAGTCGACAAGAAAATGTACACACATACACAACACACATGGGCAAAGAGAGACACACGGAGGCGCACGCGGCCCCTCTTCGTCTGTCTGTGTGTGTGTGTGTGTGCAGCAAGTCGTCCAAGGCGTTGGGTGCTGCGCGCATGAAGGTCATGGATGCGAGGGCCAAGGTGAGTGGATAAATGGGTGACACACACACGAGCCCATATGGCGATTTCACGAGTGCTGCTTGTGGTGGTGTGTCAGATCATGGACAACCTGAACAAGGAGGTGGAGGACGTGCTGGCGTCCATATCCAAGAACAAGGACTCGTACGCGCCGCTCCTCAGCAGCCTCATCGTCCAGGTACGTACGCTGATTGCCACTGCATGGTGTCCACTCATCCACCCATGTGAGCTGTGCCCCCATGTTTGCAATCCATTCAGGGATTGTATCGTTTGCTGGAGGACACTGTGATGATTCGGTGCCGCAAAGAGGACGAGGCCGTCATCAAGTCACACCAAGTCCTGGAAAAGGTACCTACACACACACACACACACCAAAATGGATGCATCTCATGCCTGGGATGTCGTGTGTGTGTGCGTGTCGTCGTTGTCTCTGTCGTGCAGGCGGCCGAGCAGTACACGGCCAAGGTCGGCAAGAAGGTCAACCTGACACTCGACTCCAAGGTGAGTGCCGGACGGACGAACAGCCCACAACAATCACTGCACGGCCGGCACGTCCATGTGTGTGTGTGCAGACATACCTGCCTCCAGCACCCACTGGCGGGCCCATAGAGGGAAAGACATGGTCAGTCAGTCAGTGAGTCAGTCGGCAAGGGAGGGTGGGAAGCACTCAGATGAATCCTGCTCCGCTATGTCATTGATTCAGTGCTGGCGGTGTGCTGCTGCTGACGCACGGCGGCAAGATCGTCGTCGACAACACACTGGTCAGCCAGCCAGCGGAGGGAACGGGCATACACACATGAATGCATTTGTGTGGGTCTGCGTGTCTGTGTGTGTGGTCATGCAGGACGCCCGCCTGAAGCTGGTGGTCGAAGACTGCAAGCCCGCCATCCGTAAGATGCTCTTCAACTAACCACGCTAGCCAGCGATGATGTCATAGCACCCGTCCATCGCCCCATCGCCCTTCCCAATGCGTGGCTGTCTGCGTGGCTGACTGTCGGCTTTCGGGTTTAAGACGGAAGCGGTGTGTGGTGCATTAAACGGTGTGTGTAAAGTGAGTGAGACCGACCGATAGAAAAAAGGTCGATGGATGGATGGATGGATAGTAGGGCGGTGTGTATGCTGTCAGTATTTCATTTCTCACTCACTGATCGGTGTGTGTGTACCTGTCTACCTGCCGATGGCCGGATGAGATGAGCGCAGCTAGGGAGCACTCAGCGTTTTTGTCTGTCTGTCTGTCCGTCACGACTGAATGCCATGGACGGACGCTATGAATGCCTGCCACGTATGAGCCGTCCCCTTGATTGAGGCTGCCTGCCTTTTTTGGCTGTAGAGAGAGAGCCATGTGTGTGTGTATGGATGTGTGTGTGTGTGGACGTAACTAAGAGACAGACCCTTGTGCCATCCCATCTGCTGCTTGTGTCCACACATCAATGCCTCTCTTCAAAATTGACATAGGCGAGAGTGAGTGGGCATGTCAGCCACACACACGCATCTGTCTGTCAGTCAGCCACCACGAGTCACGAGGTCTCTGTTGGCCTCCCCTGCCTCGTCGCCTCATGTGCAGCCGACAAAAGCACGACAGCACGGCCACCATGACACGACAGCAAAACCTTCTATCGCGCGCATCCATCCGCATGACCATCACACGTTCGAGTCATACACTCCGTCTGCCCGCCATGTACCATCAGCTGCATGCCATGGCTTGCCCTCTCCAGATCCGCCAACACCTGCAGCAATTAACTCACCACAGCACACATGAAATCGCATGGCCGTCTCACGTGTGCTCTCTCCCTCACACAGACCCCATGTGCCTCACCAGCATATCGTCATGTGAGACATCTATCCGAGAACTGCCCGCTCCAGCCCATATTTGGTCAGCAGAGGTCGGGCGGCCGCCACAGCAACTGGGAAGCGCTCGATGGCCGTGTTGCCCTCAATCGGCGCCTCGGTCGTGTAGAGGTAGATGGAGCCATCGACCAGCCACAGGTGGGCCACAATGGTGTCGGTTGCCTCGGTGCCCTTGAGGATGATGTATCGCCGGCGGCTACCTTGTCCCTGCTGATCCATATGGTCGATGGTCTTGTGGCCCTCGATGGGCTCCGTCAGCAGGGACAGATAGCGAGTGTCGTCAAGGCCGACATCAGCATACAGCACCCGCTTCTTCTCAACGCCCTTCCTGACGACACCACTGCGCCAGGACCATCCACTCGATGAATGCCGTGAAGGGTCGGCAGAGAAAGTAAATCCAGCCAATGGGCGGGTCGTCTGGGGTGTATGTGCGACGACAGGGATGGGTGGGGGGCAGGTCAGTGAGGGGGACCGTCGTGAAGTCCATATCGCCGATCCTGTAGCGCTGTCTCGTCACATCACCACCGCCACCGCCAGGCTGCCCTCTGTCGCCCCCCGCAGCCTCTCCCTCGACCTCCTCTCCGGCGCCATGCTGCCCCTCTGGCTCGCTCCAGACTGAGCGGTCCTCTGCACCCTCCTCGTCAGATCCCTCCTCATCCCCCTGCTCGTTCATGTCCTCATCTTGATCACTGCCTGCCCCCTCCATGTCCTCATCGTCGCCATCACTGTCGCTGTCCTGATCGCTGTCATCGGTATCGTCATCCACCCGCCGCAGCTCTAAGGTGGTCCCCTGGTAGCTGAGCAAGTGTCCGAATGTGTTGTAGATAGCCAGGGCGAGAGGCAGCTCATCGAAGGCCGCCTTGGTGGCCAGGTGGTCGGCCATCCACTGAGGCGACAGCACCAGAGGCAGACCATCGCCCGTCAGCTTGTAGATGGCCGCCACACGAATGAAGTCGGCCATCTCCTGCCACACCCCACCTCCCTGCTCAAGCACATAGGCGCACGCCGACAGATAGCGAAACCGCCGGATACGGTCGGCTGGCGTGGGGGGATCGCTGGTGGGCTGTGTGTGTGTCTGGGGGGCGGGGAAGGGGGGGAGGGGGTCGGTGTCTGCTGCTGGTGGTGTGGGTGTGGTGGGCCGCTGTATGTCAATGAGTCCCGTGAGCGAGTGGCGGGCG